CCTCCTTTTCTCCTCCTTTTCTCCTTTTTTCCTTCTTCTCCTTTTCTCCTCCTTTTCTCCTCCTTTTCTCCTTTTCTCCTCCTTTTCTCCTCCTTTTCTCCTCCTTTTCTCCTCTCCTCCCTTTCTCCTCCTCTTCTCCTCCTTTTCTCCTTTTCTCCTCCTTTTCTCCTTTTCTCCTCCCTTTCTCCTCCCTTTCTCCTCCTTTTCTCCTTTTCTCCTCCTTTTCTCCTCCTTTTCTCCTTTTCTCCTCCTTTTCTCCTCCCTTTCTCCTCCTTTTCTCCTTTTCTCCTTTTCTCCCTCCTCCCTCCTCTCTCTCTCCTCTCTCCTTTCTTCTTTCTTCTTTTTCTCCTCTTCACCTCCTCCTCCTTCTCCTTCTTCCTTCTTCTCTTCCTCCTTAACTAACACCTCCTCCTCTTTTTCCTTCTCTTCTTCCTCATCCTCCTCCTCTTCATCCTATTCCTTAATCAACTACTCCTCTTCCTCCCTTCAAACTGAGTTCTAAACTGATCCACTTACTTTAACATTCTGCAGCATTATCCTAGATGAGATTCAAGTAAAAATATCACATCTTAGGTAACCACAAATACTTCACTCAATTTGATCAAAAAAGCAGCCTCACAACCCAGAGCTTCAATGTTCTTCATAATCAATTTCACAAGACTCCCTTCTCCCTGTATCAGTTCCCATGATGTCATAATGGCATCATTCTGAAATTATATCCTACCATCTCTATTGCACACAGACACCTTGGAAACCTTCTTGACTACATAAGGCTTCACTAGCTACCAAAATATAGGAGGAATCGCAGATTTAGTGTGATACACTTGGAAGCTGAAGACAGATAGCATTAGGTTGAAGCCAAAATACCTAGGTAATTGAAACTCAGGTAGAACCTTGAGCCCAACTTCTTATGACCAATCAGACTCTCTGACCTCTTCTTTAATTCTGTGGGATTATTGTTTATTTTGACATTATATTTTAGGAAACCGGTTTAGCAACTCCTGACTGACCTCATTATTTATCATATCTATAGTATTTGAGGATTTTTACAGTGCTCTGAATCATCTGCAGATAATCTCTGGTTCCCATATAGAGTCTGCCATTTAACATGCAGGGGAAGTGATAGTTTCCCATTGAAGAGTTGAGATCATTCCATCTCAAAACTATATAACAGCATATAGCAACCCAGCGTGCAAATCCAGGATAGCAAACCTAAAAGGCTGGTATTCAGTGGCGATGGCAGTTTGAAATATGTTATTTTGTACTTCTATTATCTTATAAAACTGATTCGTAGAAATTACAACATTTATTTTGTACTATATTGCTACTAATTTATAACTGTTCATGGAATTACAGATTTAACTTAGTAGTATTCATTCAGATCTGTGAGTTTGCATAACTGAATATGTTGAATCCTCAGTGCTGGCATGAATTA